ACCCACACCGACACCGACACCCACCCCCCACACCCACACCCCACACCCACACCCTATCCAACTTATTGCATATGGATGCTTATGAAAAACTTCAGCAATGACCGAATTCCATGAATTCTGAACTTCTGGAACTCTTGAAAATCAAACTTCGATGCAAATCACTGAGCCAAATACAAACATTACGTACTTGACAGACGTAATACACATAACGAAACACAGAGCAATTAAAGAAATTCACGGAATCCATGGAATCCAAGGAATCCAAACAGGGTGTGCATGTGAGTGTAGGTGTGTTAGTGGCTGTGGGTGTCGGTGTCGGTGTGGGTTCGGGTGTGATTTTACTGTAAACCCACACCCACATTGTTTCGTGGGTTCCTCGGATTTCGTGAATTTCGTTGGTTCCGTGGATTTCGTGATGTTCTCAATCTTCATCATCTAACGTGGTATAACTTTGAAGAGTTTCAGAAGTTTGGAATTCATGGCATTCGGCCACATCTCCCAAGGTACAATTCCAATCGAGAAAAAGAAAAGAAAAAACACTGATTATTCGAATAAAAGATTGATCAATCTCGGTCAAATCTATAAAGCAATTACGTAGTACCAGTTTTTGCAGTAACCAAAGAACACTCTGATTTTATAACATCTGTCAATACAGGGAACAGGTCGACAAGGAAAATGAAAACATGGATAAAATAAAAGACGTCAGCTACGAAAATGAAATATCTTCTCTCAACAAAATGAACTTGTAAAACAAATGCAGTGTAGTAACTTGAAACTTGAAATATCGATCGAGCAAACGCAAGCAAAACTGATTTGCACGCATTGTTCATTCCGAAGATACATTCTATTCAATCCTGCGATTAAAAGGTTCTCCTTATTGACCTATAATAAAGAGAACTACTTCATTCAATGCACGTATACTCGGTAATCAAGTATTAAGTCTTTCGACATAGAATTCAACTCTATAGCTACTACACTTATTTCAAACAACTGCACATATTATCCAGCTGAGAAACAAACTGTTCTTCCTCAATATTATCAAGAAAACGTGTTTTCTCTTGACCACCATGTTGAGCTTGTCAATGTCGGCTCATTCCATAACCAATATCGTTAAATCTTTAACTCATCTGATTCAAATAACCGAAACTATTTCACCGCTCAAAAACGGGTAACACTTTTTCCTTGACACTGTGTTTCATATATTGATGGACAGTCATTAAACAAAAACTTTCCCTCTTACGACGTGTGCCCGTTCGTCTGCATTAGCTCAGTCAAAACACAACTCAAGTCTATACCTAGTATGTTTATTTCGAATTTCAGATAAATTTTTGCGTTAGGTAATGGAAAATGCAACAAATTCAATTTTGCCTACAAATACTGGTAGAATACTGAGAAACTTGAATTAAATCTCTAACATATGACTTTTGGTGGATATCAGTAACATGTATCGATCTTCGTGGATTTCCGAGATTCACTCCAGTGACTTTTGACTTAGAATTTACGCATATTTTCAATGGCATAGGGAAGTATTCTCGTATCAGTAATTGTTAGAGAGGATACTAACAAGTAGCCATTTTTTTAAATACTTTATCATTTTCTTTGTTGTTCTTGTGTGATATATGTAAGTCCTTCTCTTCTGGTACATATGTATTATATGCATATAACGATCTCTCTACTTTTCTCGTTCCCTTTCCTTTCTCTCTCTCTCTCTCTCTCTCTCTGGTGCTTGTGAAGATGGCTAAGGTAATGTATGATTAGATGAACTTTTCTTAATCAATCGACTTCTTTGTACTTGCAAAAAGTCTTCTCTGGTTTTGCCTTAACTTTTGCTATCCAGAGAGACCTCTGTAACAGTGACTGATTTATCGCATAATCATATAATATTTGGATATATGCAAAAGAAAAACAATAGGAATGTCGTAAATGAAAGATAAACGTTTTTCTTATGACTAATACGAGCACACACGTCTTTGCTTTGGTTTTGTGTACTTTATTGTATCTCTAGATCTTATCATTGGTTTATTTTATCACTAATAGAATTTTGTTGCACAACATGTTAATTCATCGTACTTTGCTAGCTACTCATGGATTTTAATAACTGTGACGTAAGAAAATACTTCGCTGCATTATTATGTCACTAAAACATGATATATATTTTTGGTTTGGACTCTCAACAGTTCCTCCACTAACATTCATCGATATCATTTGAGGATATGAAACCTCCACATCCACTACTGGCATAATGATACCAAGAGTTGTATCGGCAATTATTTTGAAAATGAAGATGAACTAATAAAAGTCACAGTCAATAACACAAATCATATAGAACGATATGATAAATATTGCTTGTTTCGATTATGAATGGCCCAAGTCTAAGTAATTTGTGCGAATGATGAAGCAAAGTCTCTGATTCACCTCAACTAATTTTTTACCTTAAAGCTACTAACTCGTGGTCGATCACGTAACTATCATATTTTATATTATCTCCTCTGTTTATGTACGTCATGCTTCAATAAATGTTTTGCATATTAATCATGTTAACAATGTTGTACTTGAAGGAGAAAATATTGAACTTTTCGGATGGTTTTCAAATCGACTCTTTGTATATCGACTACTCATGTAAAAATAGGTACAAGTGTTGTGAAGAACAAACAGAAATGCGTGATATATCTGTACTTAACATTGCGTTCAAATTCTTTTATGTATATAAATGCAATGCAGCTTCGTTTATCTCTATACAAAAAACAAGATATTAAAATACAAATACATTTATATACGTTGAACAAATATATTTATTGCAATGGCAATAATGGTAGCTAATGTCTATGGAAGTTGTTTACAAGTTAAAATACTTTCAGTTCATTCAGTGTTTGATAAAACACAAGATGTAGTAGTCGAAATGCAATATAATAATACTAGTAATGACACAATATCGATTTATAAATGGTGTTTACCAAACAATGAATTAAACGATCCATTATTCAAAGTAACTTGTAGTAATGTTCCAGTTAATTATGTTGGTCCACTTATCAAACGACGTGAACCAACCATTGAAGATATGATTTCTCTAGAAGCTGGCAAAACAAAAATTATTCAAGCTCGGTTATCATCAGCATACGATATGACTAAGACTGGTATTTATTCAATTCAATATGATATGTCAGCTGAACGTATTGTCTTTAAACATGCTCGAACATTCGAAAGTACTCTTGTCAGAGACATTAGTAAGAGCCAATCTGGTCTCCAGTCAAATATTATAGAATTAACAATCGAAGGTCGTCCGAATCGTCAACGTGAACAAAGTAAAAATATGAATGTGATTAGAAGAGCAGCTACTCTTTCATATGTTTCTTGTTCGATAACCCAGAAATCTCAAATAACCACTGCAGTCTCTTGGGCTCCTAAGTATGCTAATAATTCTTTCAATTATTTGAATAAGACGAAACCGAGTGGAACAAATCGCTATAAGACTTGGTTTGGTAGATTTATGTTGAGCAACTGGAATATAGAGAAAATACACTTTCGAAATCTCAGAAACGTATTTAGTTCGAAGAGAATCACTTTCGATTGTGGATGCAATAATGCTAGCCTGTATGCTTATGTTTACAGAGACCAGCCATACATAATACACTTATGTCCTGTGTTTTGGTCCGCTCCAATGACAGGCACAGACTCCAAGGCTGGCACACTGATTCACGAAACTTCACACTTTTCAGTCGTTATTGATACCTATGATTATGCATATGGTCAGATGGCATCCACAAGTTTGGCATTGAGTACTCCGTCAAAAGCAATTATGAATGCTGATAGTCATGAATATTTTGCCGAAAATTTACCTGTGCTCTTGTGACGAGCTGAAATAAATACGAACTTAAGTAAAAGGTTTTCCTGTGTAAGCAATGCTTATGATTCGATATGTTATTCGTTTCCTTTTTCGTACGAAGAACATGTAATTTTGATTTCTTTTTCTTATTTTAAGTAACGTTTTGAGGATAAATACGATATGTTGTATAGTAACTTCAAATTTTTTGAATGCTTTAATAGAATTTTTTTAAATGTTTAATGAATTTTGTTTTATTTGTAAATATATAATTTCAATGTTAAATAAGTATGTTTTTTTTTCTTATCAACTTTTCGACAGTTTTGCTATCATTATCAATAGATGTGAGAGTGATTCAAAAGATTGTATAAAAGGCGTCGGATAATCAACAGTTCTACTTTAAGCGATTTCTCATAAACTTTTGATGGATTAGTTCTAGTCCTATTTATCCTTGAAGGGATTCTGAGACGAAGGATGTATAACAGTGAGAAGTATAAGACGCATGTTTAAGTTTTTTTTTGTAAAATTTCCATCAGAGGTGTTTAATATTCCTAGCACAGAGGTATATTTTTTCTGCTTTCATCAGAAAGGATTATTACTTTACATTTACACTAAAAAAAAAAAGTATACTACTGAACTTATGAGATGTCATGAAAATTATTTATACCTTACCTTATGGGATACTATAGGAATTGACGAAATCTGTATAAAATTTTCGAATCTAACAGGTTCTGTGTTAAAAGCATTCCAAGTTTTTCTAACCAAAATGATTTCGCATTTGACTAATCTTTTTCCTTGTCTCATATATTATTCGAACAGATGTCCATCAATCAGAAACTCGAATAATCTGACTTTGTATTTTTTATAATCCATTTACATTCACTCTGAAATTGATTTTAGAAATCACATCGCTGTGTTATGCTTCATCCTCTTCTATACAATGTCTATTGTTGGGCGAATAGAGAAGGCATCACTTATGCAACAATCTCATCTCTTTCTTAGCTGTATCCTTAAGTACAGTAGTTTGAAATTTTCAAAAAGACGCATAGAATTTGAGATGAACCATTTTTAACGAAAATTAATTAACGTAAATCTTTTGTCATTTTACTTAAAGATCAATATTAATACAAAAATGAGCGGCGGACATCACACGATTCATTTATATTAACACTGAATGGACTACTTAACTCTCAATGCTTGTATCTTGTCATAGCTGATTTTGGGTAAAGTACATTCAAGTCATATAAAACTTTTAGGACATGCTGAAGTGTCATGAATTTGGTACGCTAAAATTTTCAGCTCTATACTGTTAGGTTTTGAGGAGATATGCATCAACTTAGAATTGAAAATAGCTCGTTTGATCTCCAGAAAATCTTTCTAAGCTTGCATTCAATGTTTTGAATATTTTTTGTTTGAAAGAACATTTAAGAGTTCAGTGTTTGTTGTAGTCCAATTTCAAACTGATTTTTTTTTGAGGAGGCGGAAAAGAATCACAATTCGATATCACCAAAACTTTCCAAAATGTTAAAAAAATCATAAATTTATGGAACTTTGGAGTATCGAGTCGTTATCTTTTTGCTCCTCAACAAAAGTACGAATTTGAAAGAAAAAGGCTTCGACAGACACTGCACTTTTACATACTCTTTCAATCAAAAACCAATACAGAGTGGATAATGGAAGCCTAAAAAGATTTTTAGTGAGACGACATGAGATATTTACGATTCTTGTTCGATGCATATCATACAAAAACTTCATTGAGTATGATTCAACAGTCTAGCCTGCCCTCTTCATTACAGTCTCGGCATGTCGTTAAAATGTTATACAATTTGATATTACTTGATTCCAAATCGATTTTAAGGGAAGGTGGCCGTAATATTGAGTGGAGATAGTTTCTGATGATGCATGACTTACTTAAAGTTACGAACATAATTGGTTATCGATCGGGTAATAACTTTTCATTCAAGTTTTCTACGCCAGGAAAGATCTATTTCGTGAAAATAAAGATTTTTCGAAATCAAGAAATCCGAATATCTATACAATTTTTCAGAATTTTGGAAATGCGCTTTGTTCGATCTCACAGCCTCAAATTTTATGCTTTTAATTAACGTTTCTTTTTTTAACAAAGTAATTTTTTGCAAAATATATCTTCTCGGATAATAAAAATTGATTGGAATACTATTGCCCCCAAGAGCAATGCTTATTCACTTAATTTTTACTAAATTATATATTAGGAGAAAAGAATTTAATTTAATTTTAATAATTAAGTGACTCGTTCACCATTACTATTAACGAATAAGAAGATAGTAGTTCTCCAATTTTTATTAATATTAATTATACAGTAATTAGTTAATTCTCTTCTTTTATTTTATCTAATACAAATTAATAATTTATAATCTATTAAAAATTAGTGGCATTTCGTATTTCGATGAGATACTTCATTAGAAAATAAATTTAAGACAAACAACATAAAAACAATATCAGAACAAATAAAACTAGACTATTTTCTTTTTCTTTTCTTTTATATTAGTTATTGATAGTAATGGGGAGAAACAAGTCGGTAACAGTAATCGTGATATAGAGATTAAATTCTTTTCTGCATCGCCATCAATGACTAATATAAAAGAAAAGAAAAAGAAAATAGTCTATAATAAATTTCAAAATAAAAGGAGGATAGGTATTTCTGGTGTAAATTTTGACAAGAGCAGGATAGAAATCAGCAATTTTCATTGTTTGAAAGATGATATGAAATTACATCGAATAGCATACATGAGATGTTTCTGACAAGTTTTCTCTGTGTCTCCTAGCAAGTTTATTAAAAGTAAAACATTGTGTAATGTAAAAGTTTTAGGATTTTAATTTTCATGAGTGCACTAGAATCATTAACTAAAGATCTATAAATTCTATAAGTTCAATGCTGTAAGGACTAACCAACGATAAGTTATAAACATTTTAATACGCTTTATCGGCTGATTCTTCAAAAGAAATGACCCTTTCTTCTGATTTTTTTAACGAAAAATATCCACATTGAAATCCTATTTTAAAGTCTCGAACTTAAAAAAAACTTGGCGAGAAACCCTGAGAAAATTAGTCAGAAAAATCTGATCTGTATGACTCGATGCAGCTTCGTTTCCTATTTCAAATGGTGAAAACTGTAGATTTCAATTTTGTTCCTAGCAAAAATCATTCTAAGAGGTACTGAACCATTTTTGATTTTTAAAATGGATAATAGTTTGTTTGTTGTTACATTGTTTTTATATCATTTGTCTTAAATTTATTGTCTGATGAAATATCTCATTCAAACACGAAATCTTACTAATTTTTAATAAATTATTAATTAATAATTTAAATAAAATAAAATAACCGAAGAAAGTTAATTTATGTCAAATGTCGATTCATCCTTCTTAACGAAACACGAATTGAAAAACATTTGCAGAAAGAGAATTTACATCATTCCATACCTTTTGGAAAAGTTGTACAAAAGAAAAATAACATATAAGATTTCTTACACAATGCAAATAACACAACTTAATACTAAATGGATTTA